TTCGGGTTTTGCTTATGGAGCGATTTTGAAAGCTACGCAATCAGAGTGTCCGATTCGGAGACCTCCGAGCCATTGGGCGTGGCGCTCAGAAGCCTCACGGATCGAGGAGACTCTCGGAGGAGTGCCGTCTGTGAGCACCTGCGACGACCCAATTAGTGAGTTATATGCCCCTTCAGTCAGGGTAGGGTCCGCCAGTGCATGGCGACCATGTCGTACGAGCTACGTATATCCCAGTGGTGCTCATATCGCATCCGTGCGGGCCGGGGTCTGGTTTGGGGAGCAAGCATCGGTTGGTCGACCGTGCGCAGCGTCGCATCGCCGGCACGTGCCCGCCGCAGAGCAACTTGCGCGGCGCTCGTCGGACTAACTCGATGCTTCGAGGCCTGGAAGCCACAGACACCTTCTGTCTTCCAGCCCACCAGACCCACGCGTTCAAGAATGGGATATTTAATAAGGGTTAATTAGTGAACACGAGTTAAATACCAATATGGAGGGCGCGTCACACAGTGCGTCTCCGTCACACACGTGCATATCATCCGTGGTGTGTTCTCCACCCTTGTCCAGGGTGCGTCGTGAAACGACCCGTGCGGGCGAACATCGCCGCAGCTTTACAGAGCTAGACAGCGTATGCCGTGTATGATTTATTCCAACCTAGCCCGTCACTCCCGAGAGCAAGCATTGGTTGGTCGACCGTGCGCGGCGTCGCATCGCCGGCACGCGCCCGCCGTAGAGCAACTTGCGCGGCGCCAGCAGAGGAGCTCGTCGGACTAACTCGATGCTTCGAGGGCTGGAAAACACAGACACCTTCTCTCCTCCAGCCCACCAGAGCCACGTGCCCAAGTGGGATATTCAATCATCTACAAAGACTTTCAACCTCGCTTCGCGGGGGTCCTCACGTTTTTTGCGGGGCGTGACAAATTATTCGTACAGATGTGGATACGTACGGGTGTTGATACGTACGGATGTTGACATGTACAGATGTGGGGCAACGGTTTCACCAAGCTTGAACCCTACTTTATCCTGCCCAAGATTCTCCTCCGAGGATAACTACATAGACGGTTATAGGGTCATTATGAACTGTTTTCTAGCAGCTGTAATATCACTCCGTTCTCAATATGAGTAAATCCTTCCTACTTCTCTCGCTGTGCGTCCTGATGTCTCAAATTCGGGGTGATATCTCCAATCTCCGAGGCGTATTCGACAAGATCAAGCAACAGAGTCGTAGGAACACTCAACACGTCTCCTCTTTTTAACGCTGTTGTCATTTGTCCAGGATCCGTCTATACCCCAGATGAAGACTCACAACATTTTTCCCGCTTCAAAAATGAGCTCGAAGAGAAGATTCTACATGAAGACGTATCAATTGAATACCTCACTGAATCCTTCAACAACACCAAGCCAGCTTTATTGCAATCCATGGTTGACAAGATCAACTCGATGCAACAGTCGTGGACTGCGTCGAAAGATCAGCCCCCTTTCAAGGGTACGTCATGAACTTACGTGAATACCTCTCCGAGTCTCAAACTCAGGGATCAGTGTCACTTCTCGACAGGTATGTCAATCAAAGACCTCCCTGCTGGATGCTCGAATGATACGATGTTCTCTTCGACTCTGGACGAAGGTGGCGAAAATCGCCTTCTCGGACCCACAAACCCGGTGTTGACGACTTTACCAAGTAGCTTCGACGCTCGGCAGAAGTTTGCTTCCTGTGCTGATGTCATCGGCCATGTGAGGTAGTTCTCCCTACTGCTGTTATGATAACTCATCAGTGGAAATTCATCGCTCAGGGAACAAGGCGAATGTAACAATTGCTGGGCAAGTGCTGCCGTCGGAATGTTCAACGATCGTGTATGCATCAAGTCCGGCGGTAGAATCACGGATATTCTATCTCTCGGTTATCTGACTTCATGCTGCAATCGTGCTAACGGATGTCCGAAGTGAGAGATATGCATTGAACCACGAGCGATGATAATGCATTGTCTTAATGATAGATAGAATAAACTTCATCTTCAGATCGAATGGGTGTATGTTTGGCTCCGTGCCTGAAGGCCTGAACTTTATGAAAAATCACGGCCTTGTTACTGGTAGGAATTTCCGATTCGAGTCATTCAAGTTGAGTGAGATTGAGAATGGCACCGAGTCTCCTCTGGATACGCATCATTCACAGTTCGTTTAGGTGGTGAATACAAACCGCCCGAGGAACTGGGCAACGATGATGGCTGCTGGCCTTATCCATTCCCGAAGTGCAATCATGTGCCCGGGCTGGAAAGCAAATATCCCCGATGCGCGCAGGTATTTTTAGTATAGGGCGTCTCGCGGCGCCATCACATGTTGGTGGACTTCACCGTCGTAGGTCCGGGACCTTCCTGCATGTGCAACTACTTGCCCCAATAAAGCCTACGGGACCAGCATGCAGAAGTAAGAGGACATCAGATAGACTCCATCTGGTGGATACTTCATATAATATGAAGCATCATATAATGTACATATGAATCATGTCTACTCTATGTTAGAGATACTCACCGTGCTAAAAGCTGGGGACGTCTACCGATAGGCCCTGAGAAGATCAAGCAAGAAATATTCGATAATGGACCCGTAAGCTATCGAAGCTATGTGCCCCCTAGTATAGGGTCCACTTCATTTCGATACTGAATGCGCACCCCCCGCAATGCGGGGGGTGGGCTTCAACACAGCTGCGGGGACCGCATCCCTATGAATCATTTGATCATTGATCAGTACAATCTAGTTGACAACTAGATTGAGTTTGATGAAATCTCTATTACATGTGTTATTAAAAAACCGAACTTGGCTTTGCAATTGACCGGTACTTAGAAGCGATTGAGAATGTGAATTTATCTCCGAGATATTTATCTCTATCGGATTATTTGGCTGATATTACCAGCTTAATAGTATGGTCAGATCGTCTTTTTAATTCAGGTTGCTGCGATGATGACGCTCTACGAAGATTTTCGATTTTACAAGTCTGGTGTCTACGTGCACAAAACGGGTCAAATGTTGGCGGCTCATACTCTTAAACTCATAGGTTGGGGAGTCGAGTCTGGCCAAGAGTATTGGTTAGCAGTGAATGCTTGGAATGAGGAATGGGGTGACCACGGGATGATCAAACTCGCAGTGGGGAAAACTGGTTTGGAGCACCAAGTTTATCGCATTGAGGCAGATGTGTAGTCGATACACATCACTACCTAAAAGGTGACGATTCTACTTCAGTTGTCACTTATCAGGCGATGAATCCTGGTTAATCCGGTCTATCTTTTCATCTCATATACATGTCATCCAGGATGATGCATCATCAGCAATCAAATTACAACAAAGGTCCGCGACGCGTCCGATGTTTGAGTCTGATCTGTGAAGCATATCGCGCAGTTCATGCTTTGGGAGCTCGTTGCCCGTATTTTTATTTTTTTTCTTATTTTCTTAGTCTTCGGTCTATTTTGTCCGTATGACCAGGATATGGATACGGGCCGTTACAGAGAAAGCGGAGTTGAGTTGCATGTGAGTCCATCGTCGATAGCTTTGAATGAGGAGTCTAGTTGAAGAGTACCGACAAGGGCAGTGAATCAACTAGACGTAAGACTTGGGTTAGGGAGGCTAAGATACTGCACCCCAATATGGCTTTGACGGCGCATGATCAACTACGGGTCGGGGCGATCGATCGTTGCGTTACTGTACGAATTCTCTATCGCCTATCATCACACTCTGCCTCACCATCCTTCATAAAATGCCACGGAGTGCTAGACTGCTCAAGACTGCGGGTAAGCATGTCAATTTCAAGTTCAACTCAGAATAGAAGACATGGTCCTTCCCTTGCCAATACATGAGCCAGTTGCCACTGTTGACGTTTGCCTTGGGCCCTCAGCCTGAGGGCCTCAGGGCTCAACCCTATTTTTCACGATGACATTCACGAACTATGCCGTGAATCACAATGATATCTGTCTACTCATTATCACCGAAAGCCGAAAGGATGACTGGGGTTTCCCTGATCGTATGTTGGTTGGTAGTTATTTTGAGTTCGACCCTACTAGTAAACGAGTTCCATTATTTTGCGGTCTTCTTTGCAACCCACGGTCGCCAAATGTTCTCCAATCATCGTTGGTCATTTTATGACAGCTCCGTCAGGAGATTTTAAGTTGGAGTCGGCCTTCTCGTAACATAGTTGAACTATCATAGTTCAACTATGGCTGAGTGATCCGTTGGTGCGCTCTCCTGTCTATTTTTTGGTACGGTCCAAGCCCATTCTACAGAACAGGCGAGGGAAATAGATACATTGATAATAGATACAAAGATCAAGTACACTCTGTCAAAGCTACAAACCACGCAACATTAAGGGTATTTAAACCGACAAACTAGCATATTTCTCCCTCAGACGGAGAAGCACCAAAAAAGCGTAATCTGATCTCCTCCAATCTAGGGCATTTGAACAACCTATGCTCAATATCATCAACTACGCCTACATTCAATCGCTTACACGTGGGACATAAAGGGAACTCGACTCTACCTATTTTGAACAAGTAGTCAAAGCACTCAGACCACTTGCTTGCATAAATCTGGTTGCAAGTAGACTGAATATATCTCAATGATACGGGTTTATTGAGCTCGAGCACCGATATGTCTTCAGGGCCAGAAGTTCTGGCAAGTGCAGAATCGGAGTTCGTACCCTATCTCTATTAATATATAATTTAACCGCTGATACGGGTAGTGAGCACAACGATTGACCCATCTTAGTCCCCTCTTGAGCTAGAGAGTCAACAAAATCATTCCGAGGTATATCACAATGTGAACTTATCCACAGAAGTTCACAGGAAGTGACATACAAAGATAGTCTATATAGGGATTCCCATGTAGGAATGAGATCGACGGACATACTACAGGGATCACCTTTCAAAGCACAGAATAAGGATAATGAATCACATACAATTAAAACCGTATGATCAGGCTCAACTATGTGTGAAGAGATGAACCCTTCAAAAGGGAAAATTACCTAAACCCAAGCTCGTTTCCTTATCCCAAGCAATATCCCGTAATCCAAGCAAATGCCCTTAATCCAAGCTATATTGCGCATGCCATAATGTGCTTGGATTAGCGACAAGTACATAAAGGCAAGCGAGCGAAGCGAGCTTGCCGAGGAAACCCCACGAATGATGGTCATCGACAGTCACAACCATGGTTCTGACAAGACTCAACACAAATGCTCGTCTTGAAAACGACGAAACTTTTTCGTTTCTGAATCATTTGTACATGAGCATACTATAGGTAAAACTTTGTTGGACAGCTTACTGTTAAGACTAATCAAAATTACAATAAAACGACACCCCACCGTGGATGACGAAAAAAAGTACTATCACCGGCGACCACCGCTATGCTTCTAGTCGTTAATCCATTTCTCGTCAATGGCTTCATTACATGCATTATAAGCTTCAACCTCACTTTGTTGCCCATCATCACTAATTTCCCACGCCTCGCTTCGGACTTCACTGTCAGCGTTATTAATATTTGCGGGCGCATACTCATCAATATCACTATATTCCCATGTTTCACTTCGGGCTTTATTATCAGCATTATCACCATTTACTGGGGTATTCTCACCATTATCGCTGTTTTCCCATGTTTCACTTCGACCCTCATCGCACTCATTATGAGCACTCGCCTGATCATTTCCGCTATCATCGCTGTTTTCCCATGTATCACTGCATTTTTCATCATAAACCCTATGGACTTCTGGCGGATGGCTACTCTCGTCAAGTTCATTACTGAAGCCTGAAGAACATCTGCTGTAGATGCTGCGGAGAAGAGACACGTGTGATCGAATGATTCCAAATTAGGAACTGCTCATTTCTACGACAACGTAGCAACGTAAAAGTTAAAGTAAACTTATCAACAAGTATGAGTGAAAAGGGTTCACAGACAAAGCCTTCGCCCGGAATTCACCTGCGTCACTGCTCGGGGGGTCAAAGTCGAAGGCAGTTGGATCAAACTCATGTAGACTCGCGACATCTGTTTCACTCCAAACTGAAGAATGGGTATGTCGTTACCACCAAGCAGAAATGAGAGCAGTACCACTATCGGTTTCGCCGTCGTCTCGTTCAA